GCTACAAGGACTCATCGATTAATTCATCAGTTTTTTGCTTCAGTGCTTCCTTTAACACGAGGCTGTGTAGAGCGTAGTTTCTCCCTCCTATTTAAGAGGTTTCCATGATGACAGAGTTTAGACAATTTTATTTTACGCTTGAACATGTTTTTAAAGTGCTGGACACACATAAAATATTTTCCTTAACTTCTGATTGGGCAAAACCTCAATTTGTGTAGCCTGAGCTAAATCCAGCCTGACTGGTGACCACCACCTGTCCTGGCATCTGCAACAAAAACGTCTCGACTGTTTGCACATTCACAAGCTCACCTTGAGTGTATCCTGCTTGAGTCGGACATTTTTGGCGCTGTGTGCTGCTCCTGTGGAGCTGAGAATCTCAGAGAGGAGTTCATTCTGTTTGAACAGCCAAGAATCAAACTCCTTCCTCCTGGATTCATGGTGTCCTCGGCTCTCCTGGAAAACCCCAAACAAGTGATGAAACATTTACATGCACACTAAAACACCTTAGTTAACACACCTAGTGAAGAATGAAAACCATCTAAATCCAGATTAGTGATTTAATAAAATTTTAAAAATCTATTTTATATTAACACACAAACTTGAACTTATTTTATATGTAGAAAATGCATTTTCAGATTGTCTCTCAGTTTTAGTGTTCCAGAGTATGAAAGTATGTTACCAAAGTATTTTAAGTGTATAAGTGAGAGTGTGACGTCAGGAATCTTTGTTGCCCAGCATGTTGGGCCATAGAGTAAATGTAAAAAAATTGAAACAATTCATTGATTTGTAGATCTCAGAAACCTATATTTAATTCACCTTAGAACATAGAAGACATGTCAAATGTTTATTAGAAATATTAGCATATTTTGAATGTGAGGGCATCAACATGAAACTCAAAAAATACCAGCAGCCGCCAGTGCTACCCCTCAGCATCGTAGTCGACACACCTGTGGTATCAGTTTGCAAATTCTGCGTCGCTGCATTCTAGTTATTAAATTCACAAGGTCTTCAGAAAACATGACGTCTGACCTCAAGGTTGCACCTATGACCTTATATCAACATAAAACATTTGGCGCACGATGAAATATAAAATATGAGGAGGAAGACCCTGGACTGCTGAGCAGCTAAAATCCTCTATGAGACAAGAATGGGATCATTTTCCTCTCCCACAAGTTCAACATATGGACTATTGGTAAAAGAAAAAGGAACGCCACACAACTTCTTTGAGATGTGTTGTGGGCAACAAATTCAAAATGTT